ATGGCGCTGTTGTCTCGCCGAAACGTAACCAAATAAACGATATACTTACAAACATTTTTTGTTTCACACTGTGACTGGAGCCTAGGAAGGAAAATAATTTAATTTTGATTAACGGGAATAATAGTTAAAGTTATAATGAACTGGTTCAATATCCGGCGATGAAAAAAGACTTTCTGTTGCCCATGTAAGCAGAGAGAAATCTGAGGAAGTGGCCTTTGTTTTCGAAACTGTACAGCCTTTGGGTTTTTCGTTAGGAAACTCGCTTTAACATGTTAACTCGAATTTGATGTTACGGAACTGTCACACTACGTGTTCGATTGCGAAATGCACAGGCACACTTTCTCTTTCCTGTTATTGTTCAATAAGTACGAATTTCGGTCGTTCTGTTTGCATATGAGGATACGCAAAATGCGGTCATATCATCTTTCCGGCAAAACAGTCGCCTATTCAGTCGTCAATCGTTTAGATGCGGGAACTTTGAACTGTTTAGCTGAGTTCTTCTTAACAGCGATCCCCAATCTGAGCCGAATGAAAGCAAAATCAAATGCTACCGAGATATGCACTTATCGCTGTCTGTTGCACAATGAAGTCACACGCTCTAGTTGTTCGAGTGCTAGAAAAGCCCGAACTATTTAAAAGGTCAACTGTAGATAACCAATTGAGCTTCTGAATGCGGGTTCAACGGCTTTTCCATTACACATTTCGAAAGCCGWGCAGCAATTTTCGTTTGCTTCAAGGCAGCGTGCGATAATAAACAACATCGGCGATTTTCCAGTGTGGAAATCGAACATCTGGATTGGCCCAAGCCGCCAATAAAACAGTCGGGAACAACAACAGTTACTTAAGGAAGTGAGAAAGCACATAATTATTATTACCCTGCCATATATTGTACTTCCTCAATTCACTGTCGTATTTCATTCATTCGATGATTTTCCCAGCACGTAATTTAAGCTCGGCCATTATCCTTAATTCGAGAGACGTTACTGTTTGAAGGCAATTAACAGTTCAAAACTCATTACTTCTCATGTCCCCATCAAGTCCAGTTTTAACAGTACAACAGCACATTGTTGCTGGAAGTGTCGGGTTTTCACAGTTGCCGCTCACAGTGTTTAATTAACATGATTTATTGCTTGAAACAATCGATTTTTTCACTTCGGATGCAATAAAAACTTCCAAATCGTGATTATATGAAGTAGAGGTTACAACGTTCCAGTTCCACTTTGGTAATAGGTTTCAAAATGCAGTTCCAAAAGGAACATGAACCTTTTTAAATTTTTCATTAAAATGCAGAATGATGAAGATAGTGGAATAAGTGTTGATATATAATAATTTCCTTTATTGGAAACTTAATTCTTAACATTTAAAACCGCGCATTAGTTGCACGGTTCTCAGAACTTAATTAACCAGCAGGTTTGCTTATCTGAA